AATATCTGAATTTGAATTGGCGGTTATTAACGGTTGTGTAAACCTCAGAAAAGGTAACCATTTTTCTGTCATTACAGAAACAGGAGGATCTGTATTAAAATCTCTCATTGCGATCTTAGAAGAAGGGTTTGTCAATCTCGGTAACAAAGGATATTTAATGTAGTCATTAAAACTCCTTCCTGCAATGAAATTAAGCAGCATCAAATACTCATAATTTGAGATTTCGTTGTTCAACCATTTCGCTGTCAGATTTGAGTTTTCTGACATTGCATTTCCAATGTTTTTGTACAGATGGATGTACTGGCAGTTCGGAATTTGGCATTTGGAAATTCCTTTGATGATTAATGATGATTTGTGAGGTGAAAAATCAAGTAAAAAAGTATCACCTGTTGTCAAAATTATTTCGACACCTGTTTCTGCTTTAAAACAATGGCTGAATACGTATTTGATCTTTGCTGTCTCGTATTCACGTGTTTTGTTCTTAGATGTCAAAATAAAACGATTGTTAAACAATACAAAAATGACATTATATGTTTGATTGATTTTGTATCGTTTGCATTTCGTTTTTATGAGATTTTCAGTTTGATCATTAAACGTGAATGAGAAATTGTATTTAGGAGCTTTCGGCCACCATTTCGTATCATTCTGCATGAAGTTATTGATTGTTAAATCAATCCTTTCGAAGTTTTTATCGGAGTAATCTTTCCAAATCGAAATTTCATTGACTGTTTTTCTCAAAAACTTCCAAACTTTCAATTCTGTCTTGAGTTTCTCTGATTTGTCACTCAAACAATATTCATGCAATTTCAGATACGAAACAGTCGAAATATTTTTGACGGTTTGAGCGGTTTCACTTTGAAAACATGTATTTATATAAGAATACATTTTTGAAATGATTTCGTAGACTCTTCTTGGATAAGAATTGATCATTGTATTGACGAAGAATCCAAAACTAGACATCAATGATTTCATTTCATTATTTCTGTCCAAAATTGTTTGTTGGTTATAATTCTTCAAAAAGAATTCACAAAGTTTTTTGATTGTTTGCAATGTCGTAGTTTTGTTTTCTTCTGGAATTGTTTGTAAAACATAAACAATTGCACTTGCCAATGAAGAATACAATATAGAATGACCATTATCACATAAATCAACACAAAAAACTAATCTCGGTAAATTTGTGGCTTTCTTCAAAAGTGACAAAAGTGAACTGATGTCCGTTATAAAGAATTCAACTTTGTTTTGTCTGAAAATCGTTTCGTTTTTGAAAGGTGACTCCAAAAACGATAATTTCAAAGCGGTGTTTACAAAACCGTTTTGACAAAATTGGAAAAACAAAAATTTTGCGCATCTATGTACTAATTCTATCTTTTCTTCAAGTTTCCAATCAACGATTTCGACATTACATAATAAATGCAAAAATCTAAATGTAAAAATTGACATATCACTTTTTTCTAATTGAACAACATCAAGAAACGCAATTATTTCATCCAATAATTCAACATTCGGACTTTGTATATAAATTAAATGAAGTAAAATGACTGCTTCAACTTGTTTTTCTTCTGGAATTCTCATTGCTAAAATGATTGGCCAAATATACCAATAAGGGCAATTAATTACCCTTAAACAGAAATTATGATCTTTCGACATATCCTTGAGAATAGAAACTGTCTTGACGCATTCATCCACGTTATTTATAACGTGTGCAATATAACAAATTACAGGGAAAGTATAAGAATATTCATCAGGCATTGCTCTGAGCTGTAACAACATTTCTAAAGTGCAATGTTCTTTAGAAACATGATAAATCAATCTCCTTGATATTTCGCCTTTCATTTTCGGAAGAAATTGCAACATTGATCTGACAACTGCGCAAAACAACATTGGTATTGGTTTGTTCAACAAACTAAACAAAAATTCGGATATATTAACGGAATCCTTATGCTTAGAAAACATCGGCAACAATTGTAATAAATCAATTTGTTGTTCAATATCAGGAAGTGAAGTGATGTGACTAATTAAAAATTCCAAATCTTCTTTTGTCCATAATTGTTGTGGATAATTAGACAAAAGTTTAAACAAAGACATTCTTATGTTTCTTACATTAATATCCGGGTTTCTTAATCTTTCTGGTTTTGTTCCTAAAATGAAATCTTTTTCGATTGGATGATACCATAAATAAACTCTCATTATATTCAAAATATCTTTGAATGTCAAAACAGTCCATAATTCGTTATCATCTTCACATAAATTCTGGTACCAATGATCAACAATTTTCTGCAAGTTTTTGTTGGAACAAACCATCCATAATTCGAGATTTAACAATATTTCTTTCATTAAACTTCTGCGGCAAGAAACATCCGAAATTTCTGATAATAAATAAGTAAATCTCAAATATATATCGTAATTCAATGTTTTCACGTGTTTCTTCATCAAATATGAAACAATTTGATATTTGCCACTTGACAAACCGCCACAACGTTTTATCAAATCAATAACTGATTCAATATAATTAGAGCTCAAATTATCCAACATGAAAAATGGAATAATAGTCTTTGTGAACTTGTAATTACTTGAAAGATCATAAATAGGACGAAAATAATCATTGATTTTCGTTGGAAGTTTGGGTAATCGATCCGTCACGTTTTCTATCGTTCCATGATTCATCAAATTAATTATTTCTGATTGGTTCAAGACGGAAAAGTACAAATGGCATTCAGCTAATATACAAATGACGCTTTTTGTGTATTTAGGAGCATCAGAATTGCAATAACCACCAATTTGCACGAAAAAGTTTTGAGTTTTGAAATTTGGATCTTTGATAATTGTCAAAATTGGTTGTTCTCCATTTATATACAACAATAAATGAGAAGTATTGTCATCCTTTGGCGAATAACAGAAAGTAACAAATACCCATTCTGATGGCGGCACATTCATAGAAAGAGTTACAGAAGTAGGAACTAAATTTGGTCCACAAATTTGTGCGATCAAAGAATTTCCTTTCAAATATAAAATAATTGATGAAGAACTGTCATCCGCCAAAGAAAATATCAATGGTTGTATATTCAAGGAGAATCTGATCGAGAAATCAATGTTAATCCAAAAACAAAATGAAAAACCGTTCTTGATTTCTTCAGTTTTGAAATCTAAGAATTGTTTGTATTCCGACGGTTTTTGGAATAAAATTGTTGGATTATGATTGTGACAACATTGTGCCAACGCGATGTTTAAGTAATTAATAGGTAAAGAGTCGATTTCGCAGTTTGGCTTTGGAATGCTTAAACTCAAATATTGATAGCAAACTTGTTTTGAACTAATTGATTGACACATATAATTTAAAATTGTAAAAAAATTTTCAATGTCACTTTTCAAAATATTATTTTGAAAATTGAAACCTCTAAATTCGAAATCATTTGGGAACGATTTTATTGCTTTGATTATCAATAAATCAAGTTCACTTTGTGGCATTGTATTATATTTGTATTAGAGAATTTGCATAAATCACCAAAGAATAAAATTGATTTTGTTCCCATGACAGAAATAAACAACAACAAAATTATTTCATTTTGTAAAATAAACATTGAATCTTTTCCTGATATAGATTTGTTGTTTGCCATCAAAGATATCATGAATGATATTGTTTGGTCTGATGCTCCATTTGGTTCTGCTTTCTTCATACTTGTAGAAAACAATGATCTGTTTTCAATTGTTATAACTTTTCCTGTGTGTTTAACTTGTGTCAATGCAACAAAACTCAAAACAACACAAAGGATTTCACGTGTTGGACTAAAAAAGAATAAGTTAAGAATGGGTTTCTCTAAGTCTATAAAGTAATCGATCAAATCAGTGAAATATGATAAATGTGAAATTAAATTGGACAAACAAATAGAAATAAAATGGTAAAAAGATGGTTGTTGGTTGTTATAATATGATAACAAATAAAAATAGAATGAATGGATGCAGGAAATGATGTTTTCGTCACGATCAGGTAAAACCATGATGTCCGTAAATGATGAAAAAACATATTGAGATGTTAATGGGTGAAAACTAAGAAGCATGAAACAAGTAACAAATGTTTGTGATGAAAAAGCTGTGAAAAGTTGTCTCTTTTTCTTCATTTCTTCAATTAAAAAAATTAAAATGGAAAACCATGCTTCGTTCTCTGTTTTCAAATGGATCAAATAACTAATAACACGAATACTTGATTCAAAGAATCGTTTGTTAACAATAAAATCAACTTGTGACTGTTCTTTTTGACCATGAAGACGAATAACGTGTTCTGCAAAAAGCAATGGATATTTTTCCGATTCAAAAATGATATGTTCAAGAAGATATGGCCATTTGTTGATGATACCTTGGAATAAACTTTGACGAATAAAGTTGACTTGTTCATTTTTGTTGGAAAAAATGGTAAAAAATGGGGATAATTGTGCAGATGAATAGATTGCATCTGAAACAACAGTAGGAATAAATTTGTTGTTCATACAAACTAATAATGAACATAAAAACATAAATAACTCGTTAGTACAACTAACATCACGTTCAACATTAAGTTTGTATGTGAATTCTGATAAGAATGTAACTGGAATTGATTCTTTTGGACAGTCAATGATAGGTTGAACAACACCAATAATACGTAACTGTTCTTCACTGAAGAATTCGTCAAGTTTAAGTTTGCTTTCGATGTCTGATGGATGGATGCATCGTAAATCTAGAGGTAAAGAGAGGATATCATCTGGTTGAAGTTGATAAGCTTCAAGTTCGTAAATTTTGTAGTTTTTAAGTTCGAAATAGGATCGGTTGGACGCAGATTTGAATAAATCATAGACTTTGTGTGAAAGTTCGATAAATGAATCGTAGATATCGTATTGGTTTGTATGAAGTGCGATTTGAAGAAATAAATCGATAGAATTGACGTTCAGGTTAAGAAAGTATGGTGTTGACATGTTGATGATATATCTAAAATCGTAGTCTGTAGTGCCTTTGATTTGATTAACTAAGTGAATCAATGTAACAACGATTTCTTCGTAGTTATCACGATCACAGAGCATAATAGATATGAATGAGATGTGGTTTTTGCTGAATTTGTTCATGTGTAAGAAAATTGTTAAAAGTTGTGTTAAAGATTTTTGAGGAATTTGTGAAAATCCTTGTTTGTAATAGTATGTAAGACACATGTGTAATGAAAGAAGTATGGATTCGTTAAATTCGACGTATAAAGAAGTAACTAAAGAGTTGAAAAGAAGGAAAAAGTCATCGACAAATGAGTCATCTATAGGGGTCAATAGCCAACCAAATGCATTACAAATAAGACCAGCGACTGAATTCATACTAACTGAGATAGATAAAAATTGAGGTGAAAAAGTAAAGAGATTTTGTGTGTTTTGAATACGTGTGATGCACTCATATATGTTGTTTACATCGTATGAAATGAGTTGAAGATTTTTCTTAGGAATATTAGGAATATAAAATTTCAGGTTTTCGATTTCAAGAAAATCATATGTCTTAGTGAAGAGATGCAGAACTGATGAGAATCTATCGGCAATAGGTTCATCCCCTTCCGTCTTCAATATTGAAGGACCGGTCGAGGATCGCCGCATTCTCAAAAAATTGAACTTTTATTTTCATGCATCATCTTTTTATATTAAATAGTATCTCATTCATAACATATAAATTTCTTATCATATATGGAAAGGTAGACCAGCAAAATTAGTAGTATATGTTGACGGGTTGTGTGACTTTTTTTGTAAACGTAAGAATTCATACAATATCGAGCGATTTTGTATCATTTTTTTTAACATATGAAGTAAAAAATGTATGATTCTTACGGTTTTTATTCTTACGTTTTTGAATAAATCAAGATTTAAAAAATTTTCAAAATTGTAAGACATTTACACTCAGCCCATACATAAATCATTAAAAATTAACATTAATTTTAAAATAATTTATTTTATCTTTTATAAAAGAAGCTATATATAGATGATGTCAGATATTCTGTGATTAATTAAACAATGTTTAAATCCTGAATGGAATCAATGGAGTCATAATCAAAGACCTCATAAACGAGAAAAAGAAGAAAGAAATTAGAAATAATGATTATTTGAATGAAAAATAAACTTTAAAAATTCATGTCTTACATTTTTTGAATAATTTATTTTTATTTTGTATGAAATGAGCGTCAAAACTAACGACGTTAAAAATTTAGGATTCACAAACGTGGAAATAAAGGATATATTAGAGGAGGCGGGTTATGAAGTTGATAAATATTATTTAAGAAATTGTAAAAAATTCGCGGAGTTTTTAAATGATTTCGATTATGATGGAAAAATGAATAAAGATGATGTTATAAATTTCTTATATCCCACATCTGAAGAAAAAGAAAAACCTAAAGAACCTGATGTTTTCCCTGAATATTATGAAGAACGGATTAAAGATGATGAATATAATGAAATTGAAAGACTGGAAAAAATAAGAGATGAAATAGATGAAAAAATTAAGGAATTAAGAGAAGTTGAAAAATATAATGAAAATGAAGTAGAGGGTTTAATGAATATCCCAGCTTCAGAATCAGAAGTACAGAAATCTCATGAAGAAAGATATAAAAATTATGTCTCAGAATCAACATAAAATTTATTAGATGGTGAAATAGACGAAACACTTTCAGAAGAAGGTACTAAATTTATTCGTAAACATAAGTTACAATTTATTGATAATGAAAAATACCCCTGTATCCTACTTTCACCACCTTTAGATTCCGAAAAATTCAAAAAAGCTCTTAAAAACGTGACATATGCAACTAATACGATTAAGAAAGAAGATCATGATATTTACACAAATTATTATTTAAATAAATGCAGTGGTGTTGATAAAGTTTTTGATTTATTAGATAAAATATCAAAAGAAACCATTGGAACCTATAAAATTTTGTGTGATTGTGGTTTCATTATTGAAGATACCAATAATGTTTCATATGAAAGAACAGCACCGAAGGAAGACGAAGTGGAAAGGTCTATACCATTCGTTATTAAGAATATAAAAGATATGAAAACGTATAAGCATTATATTTATTCATTTATTTCAGAAAAAATGGAAGCAACCCATAAAACATCTTCTCATCATTTTATAGCTATTCATACATTCCTTTTCAAAGTTGTGAAATTAAATAAGACAGGAATTAGATTTAATGTATCAGGGTACGCATTCTTGAGTAAATTAAAATGTATTCGTCACGTCGCAGATGATAAAAATTTATGTGTTCTTAATTCATTTTACGGACTTTAAAAAATAAACTTTATTTTTATTTATTTTTTAATTTTTTATTCTTACATAAATGAACAAAAACGGAACAGCTAAAATGAATGATAATCAAATTAGAGCAGAAGGTAGAAGGTTATTTAAACGCTTCTATAACATTCGTGATGGTGTTAATCCTAAAACTCGTAGAAGCTATTTAAATGAAGCAATAGATGCATATGAGGGGTTTGACATTTCATCAGAAAGTGAGAGATTAGCGAGAATGTTAAATGTTAATATTGATTTCTATTATTGTGATCCTCAACCAGAAGATGTGGACATAAATAAGGTAGACTTTCCATTAGTGGAATCAATAATGATAGATCCAGAATTTGAAACAGTAAATATTTTATTAACACAGAGTCCATGTGGAAAACTTCACGCTGACAGAATAACAGACGTTGAAGCACTCACTGGCTATAAAGTTTGTCCATTTTGTAAAGAAGAAGTTTATTCTATCCGTGATGATCCAGAAAGGAAAAACCAAAGAAGATTTTTAAAGCATTGTGAGAAATGTAAAGAAAATAATGGAAGATTAATTCAAGACGTTCAGTTGCAAAAGACACAGCAACCATATGCACCACATATTACGAAACAGAAGATATATCAGTGGTTATTAGCTCACAATTTGCAGAAATATAGGGTGTCCAAAGGTGCGTTTAGCACAGCGCTCTATATGAGACTATTAAAGGAGATATATGCTGATTATAAATATATAATAAAAAATATGAATATATGTATATGATGAGTAAGTTGTATTTTGGCGCCATGCCGGGATATAAAATGAATTTTGAGACAAGAGGCGGTTTCGCGGGAAATTTTGGCGGGATTTTTTTCATTTTTTTAATGAATCATAAAGAAAACATCCTCGCTCTTGCAAAAAAATGCAAAGACTGTAAAAAAATCTACGAGACATTGGTAAAATGCTTCGGTATGGATGCTCCTAGCTATTCACTGTAACGTATCATGTTAGGATGTATCACTTCATGAACAAAAAGGCGCCCATCATAAAAATTGACAAAAAATCGCCGGATCAAAGAAAAATCAAAGCAATTCTTCAAGCGCTAGATGAAGACCCAAGAGCATCACTCAGAAGGATAGAGGAGATGACAAAGATACCACGTACAACAGTCAGTAATTATCTGCACAATTATTTGAACTACAAACTAGCGTATACACGTTGGGTTCCGCACAACCTTAATTCAGTTCAAAAAAAATCTAGAGTCCAATCTTCGAAAGAGCTCCTCTCTATATTGGGTGCGTATCAATCCAAGAAGTTTCGCTTTTTAGTAACCGGGGACGAGTCTTGGTTTCAATATGCAACAGAAGCCAAAATCATGTGGATCCCGAAGGATGAAAATCCGCAAACATTCCCGAAGAAAAAAATTGACACACCAATGATTATGTTGTCGGTTTTTTGGGGCGTGAATGGCATCATCGCAATTGATATTCTTCAAAAACCTAATACGATGAATGCTCAGTATCTAATTGACAATGTTCTTACTCAAATTATCAATTCTGATGAGTTTGAGAAATCCAAACAACAAAAACAAAAGTTTGCAATTCATTTTGATAATTCAAGAGTTCACAAAAGTCATAAGGTAATGAATTACTTGTTGGAAAACAATGTCAAAGTTGTTCCAAACCCAATTTATTCACCTGATATTGCACCCTCTGACTTTTATTTATTCGGCACGCTAAAAAAGAGAGCTGAAGGACGCGAATTCGCGAGTCCAGATGATCTTGAAAATTTTGTAAGAGAGCAATTTGAGCAATTTTCTCATGATGATTTAAAGCGTGTCTTTCAAGCCTGGATCGATCGCTGCGAACGCGTGATTGAATCCAATGGTGATTATATTTAAATAAACTTTATATATATGTAACTTGTTTATTTCTATTCGCAGTATTCAGGTTTGTGCTAAACACACCTTTGGACACCCTATATTATAAACCGACAAGATATTATATTACTTTTGACTTTGAAACATTAGAGACTAAAGAAGAATTACAACTTTCTGAGTGTGCAACTTTGAATGCTTACTTAAAACCATTCATGGTATCATCAACGGTTAAATTAAACGATAAAACATATACGAGGAATTTTTGCTTAACTTCGAGTGATTCTTTTATTTCTGATTGGATTGAGTTTTTATTTCAACCTGTTCATTAGTTGCTAAATCAAATATTGAACAATATGAAGAATTATTGAAGTCGCAAACGGCGGGGACTTTGTCCCATACATTAAATGAAAAACAGAAGAAAGCATTTAAAGAACTTCTAGATGAGGAATTCAATAAAGTGAATATCATAGGTTTTAATTCGGGAAAGTTTGATTTAAATTTAATTCTTCGTGATTTAAACACTGCAAAATGGAAAATAAAATCAATGCTGGGTTCATCTTCACAATTTAAGCAAATCATTGTAAAGAAAACAAACGTTCCATATGAATTGAGATTTATTGACATCAGAAATTATATAGCGGGTGGGACATTAGACCAATTCACTCAAGATTTCGGAAACAATAAATCACGTGTTAAATCCTTTTTCCCTTATCAATTCATCACATGGGAGAATTACGAAGAAGAATTATATAAAGTGGAACCATTCACGAAAGATTCATTTTATTCAGCATTAACTCAAGAAACTATATCAGATAGTGATTATCAAATATATCTCAATGATGCTAAAAACTTTAAGAATAGATTAGAATATTTTATTCATTATTGCAATAAAGATGTTGAAATTATGATTGACCCAATCGATAAAATTATTGAAGAAACATTTGTTTATAAAATTGACACGCTTCATAATCTTTCTTTATCATCGAATGCTTCAATGATTCGTTACGCTTTAGCATATAAAGACTTTAATCCTAATGAAAAATATCCTGAGGAAGAGATAGAATCAAGTTTTGAATTAACGAAAAAGTATTGGAAATATAAAATTGAATCATATAAGAAACAAGATGAAAAAGCAGAAAGAGATACTAAAAATACTATCACGATTTAATTCTTTCATCTAAATGCAAAATGTGTGGTAAAGCGTTTACATATGCTAATAAACCAACATTAGATAGAATCGATAATGAAAAACCACATACCAAAGAAAATTGTCAGTTAATGTGTTGTTATTGTAATGTCGTAAAATCAAATAAAGATGAAGATGTTCAACGTTTAAGAATCAATTTAAGAAATTATGCATTAAAAAATAATTTACCAATGACTTTAGATTCAGTTGAAGCTTATCACATTCTCCGTAATGGAATTACTGGTGGTCTATCAAATGTTCAACATAGAGTAAATCTTAAAGGAATCACGCACATTAATAAACTTTCATATAATCCAGAAACTAAAACTGTATCAAATGAGGACACTTCCAACATCATGACTCATTTCGTTGGTGTTGATTTTAATTCATTATATCCTTCATCATTTTCATCTAATCCTCATGATTTCATTCAATATACTGACCATAAAATGTATATGCCGGGAAGATTGAATGGTGTTATCATTTGTGATACAGCAACAAAGAAAGCAAAAGCACTGGGAATTATTAGAAAGAAAAATACTTTATTCGTGGCTGAAGTAAAGGGTCACATTGATGAAAAATACATTAATGATTACATAAACTTTTTACCGATAAGAAGAAACTTAGATATTATCACAGATGAAAAAACAATTGGCAGTTTTATGTATAATTACATGAAATCAAACAATCTACCAGTTGACCAGAAACAGAGGAAATTAACTCAGTTAGCATCAACACACAACCAATATCAACTATTTTCTTCTTATTATCTTTAGTATCTAATAGACAGATTTCATTTTATCATTGATGACATTCAATCAATTTTAACATTTACTAAAAACACTTGTTTTAATGAATTTGCGAACGAATTTATGAACGAAAGACAAAAGGCTGAATTAGAAGGAAATAAAGGAAAAAGTTTATTTTGCAAGATTTCGCTTAATGGATCATATGGTTACGATGCAATGAATACACAAAATTACGCAAAGACTAAAATAATGAATGCACAGAAGGCACGCGTTGCATGTATGTCAAATAAGTTTAAAAACATAAGAGAAATAGGAGAGGATACGTATCAAGTGATGCTCAAAGATAGATTTTATAGATGTGATACATGTTTACAAGAGGCATTCTTCACTTTAGATAATGCTAAATACTGGTATTTGGTTTTCATTTATGATTTTATGTATAAATGCATGGATGTTAATCGTTTTCATTTCATTGAAGGTGATACCGATTCATCTTATTGGGCAATCGCTGGCGATCCAAATCTTCCTAACACTCAAGCATTTCAAGCAATTGTTACCGATAAACAATTTTATGATAAAAACATTTTCAAATTCGCACCATTTGATTTCTTCTGTTTTGATGAGAAATTTAAACCTAAATTAAAGAATAAAGCTGAAGAAAAAGCACATGAGAAGAAGTTATTGGGTTTAGCAATTGAGAAACAAGGTGATAACATGGCGGCGTTATGCCCTAAGTGTTATACATCATTTAATGGGATGATAGGTGAAGACTCCTTCAAAAAGATTGCACAAAAAATGAAAGGTGTTAGTTTACGACAAAATAAACAATTAACACCTAAAAATTATTTGGATATAATAAATGATAAAGTGATATTTGATGGTCAGAATATTAATTTACAACTTAAAAACAGGTTGATGACTCGCTTAACAATCTGTAAGACTGCATTAACAGGAGCACACACTAAAGCCGTATGTTGTGAAAATGGATGTTGTATGCCATTTATTTAATACAATTTTAAATTGTATTTTTAATGAAATACCACAGAAGAGACAAAAGGAACTGTTGAATGATGTGATTCAATATGTAAATAATGGTTTTGATACTATGCACCCTTAAAACACTTATTTTATTTTTATATAAATGAATACCATAGAGTTAAAAAAATTAATTGATGATTTAGTATTTAATCAAAATTTTCTTACTTATTACGATTTAAAAGCATATCTTCAAAAATATGATAACTATATAACGGGTGATGATATGGATTATTATTATCCGTATTATGAAAATGAATTTTTGAAATATCATGATAAAATAATTTCTAAAATTAAAGACAAAATTAAAAATAATGAATATACAAAGGGAAAAACTAAATCACAACTTAAACAGTTGAAAGATTTCAAAAATAAAGTATTAACAGAAGAAGATATTGATGAATTATATAATTTATATAATCCTGAGCCGCAAAAATCAAGGGAACAAAAACAAAAGGTGCAAAACGCCCAGGTCCTTCAGATCATAAATGAAGCACAAGCTTTAATTTATGATTCATTAGTTAAACCATGTTCAACCCAAGTTTTAAATGAAGATCAACTTTTGGAATTCATCCTTCAACATAAACTCGAAGCGGGAAAGTATATCAAACCTTTATATACAGCATATTTAAAACAAATGAATAGAATACATCCAGAATTAATGAAGGGGGGAATGAAATCCAAAATCAAAGCAGATAAAATTAAACCATTTGCAATACCAAAACCTCCAACGACAGTACCGCCTCCTCCTTCAGTTAATCCTTCATCATTCACTTTATTATATCCATTTCAAACATTAAAGAAGCAAAAAGATTTTAAAAAGGATTTCAAGATATTAAATAAACCAACTGACCCAAAAATTCAACCGTTAAAGGAAAAATTTAGTCGCCCTTCATTTGCACCATATCCATATTCATACGAAATCGATCATCTGGAATATTCAAAAGGAAACGTTACTTATTTATTTGCCATTAACATTAACACTAGGTATTTATATTGCATTCCAGTGAAAGGGAAAACAGAACAGGAAACAAGAAGAGCTATACAATACTTACTAGATCATGAAAGAGTAGATAATATCAGGGGTGATGGTGATAAAGGATTTCAGGCAGCTATGGCTCATTATTTCCCACAAATTAATTTTTACTTTTCATCCTCTCCATATACGTTTCATAATAAAATAGTTGATGCAGTAATGAGAACTCTTAGAGATGCGTTAGGGGTTAACGGTCAGATATACTGGGATGGAAATCATGACTCCATCATACAGCAGTTAGTATATTATTACAATAATACATGGCATAGAACTATAAACATGAAACCAGTGGAAATGAAAAATGATATTTCAAAAGAATGGGAATATATTAGAAAGCAAATGGAAAGGTTGAATGATGTTAAACGTGAACAAATTAATTCGGGGCTCATGAATTTTAAACAGGGGGATAAAGTTTTGATTCATCTCGATTATGGAAAAACTGATAAATCAATGACAAAAAGAAGACGAAGATTTGACACAATGGCTGAATTTGTTAGATATATTAACGGTAATGCATTAGTTGAGGTTAACAATAAATTAATAGAAATTCCGATTTATTTTATTACTCCATCATATTTAAATAATATTTAATTTTTTTATTTCGTAAGAAATGAGTGACAACAAAGCAGCCAAGAGTCCAGACAATGAATATAAAAAGAAACTAAACAGAATTAAATCAAAAATATGCTATTACAAAAAGAAGCCGCAATGCGGTGGGGTTGAAAACGATAAAGAGAGGAAAGAAATAATCGAAAAATTAAAAACTTACCGTTCAATCCTTAAACTGAGTGAAGCAAAAATAAAAGAATTTAATAGAATAAATAAATTGATTGGAAGAGATGAATTTAATAAAGATGAATTTTTAAACTCAATCCAAATTTAATTTTTTCAGTGCTACTATGTTACCATGTGCTACCATGTCAATTAACTTCTCTGAAAAAATGATGACAACATGACATTTTGACAACAACAAAGGAAATATATTTTATCGTTAATGTTTTCATTAATGATTTTAGGTTATTCAATAATTAATTATTTTTGAAGAACTGAAGGTGCTACTATGTTACCATGTGCTACCATGTCAATTAACTTCTTTTAAAAATGATGACAACATGACATTTTGACAACAACAAAGGAGGAAGGCATTTATGAATTATTTTTGAAGAACTGAAGGTGCTACTATGTTACCATGTGCTACCATGTCAATTAACTTCTCTTAAAAATGATGACAACATGACATTTTGATAACAACACAGGAGGAAGGCATTTATGAATTATTTTTGAAGAACTGAAGGTGCTACTATGTTACCATGTGCTACCATGTCAATTAACTTCTTTTAAAAATGATGACAACATGACATTTTGACAACAACAAAGGAGGAAGGCATTTATGAATTATTTTTGAAGAACTGAAGGTGCTACTATGTTACCATGTGCTACCATGTCAATTAACTTCTCTGAAAAAATGAGACAACATGACATTTTGACAACAACAACAAAGGAGGAAATTTGATGCAGTCCAAAAATAAAGTTAGTTTTAAAATTATTTTTATTTTTTTATTTTGTATGTAAGAACAGAAATGTCAGTCGAAGCAAAAACATTCACGAACAAATCTAATGGCGAAACATTCACAAAAGGCACTTATAATGGTATTGAAGTCTTACGTAGAGACAAGGATGGTTACATTAATGCAACAAAGATGGCAAGAGAAGCGGGAAGGTTAAACCATTTAAACAGATTTCTCAATAGTACTAAAATGCAGGAAATTCTTGAGTTTTGGATGAATGAATACGGTCAAGCCAAAAGTGGCTCGACCTCAAAACAAGCATTTTATGAGCTTACTAAGGGTGTTATAAATGAATTCAAAGGTATTTACATACATCCTGACCTCGTTCATTTTGTTGCTGAATGGTGCTCTGTAAAGTATGCATTTTATGTCAAAGATATTATGGACTCCATAGACAAGAAAGTTCATGTGAAATTAGATGAAGAAGAACTCGAAGATACAGTAGAGAATGCTAAACATTTGTTTGAAGAAGAAGTTAGAAAAATGTGTGAAAAACAATTAGAACATGAACGTGAGATATGTTATAGTTATAGAGATTCTCCATACGAACTAGACTAATGGGAACAAGAAGATTTAAAGAGAGAATTTAGAGAATATGAACTCGCTAAGATAGCATTAGAAACTGCAGAAAAGAAGTTAAAAGTTTGGGGTCGTTTTGTACAAAAATATTGTGAGTAAATGAACCATTTATTTTTGTCATAAACGACCAAAAATATATTTTATCGTTAATGTTTTCAGGTTATTCAATAATTAATTATTTTTGAAGAACTGAAGGTGTCACCAGGTCACCAGGTTAATTAACTTCTCTGAAAAAATGAGACAACATGACATTTTGACAACAGTCCTGGAAATATATTTTATCGTTAATGTTTACGTTAATGTTTACGTTAATGTTTACGTTAATGTTTTCAGGTTATTCAATAATTAATTATTTTTGAAGAACTGAAGGTGCTACTATGTTACCATGTGCTACCATGTCAATTAACTTCTTTAAAAAATGATGACAACATGACATTTTGACAACAACATAGGAAATTTGATGCAGCCCAAAAATAAAGTTAGTTTCAAAATTATTTTTTATTTTTTATTCCTATATAAATGACAGCAGCAAACGACAGCAGCAACTTTATCGTTTCTGATGAAAAAGTTATTGATTCATTAGTTGAGGAATTAGTTGTGGCAGAAACTAAAACCCTCAACGAAAGAATTGGTGAAAACAAGATTGATTTACATAACTACCTCAAACATGATGGAGGAAGAGGAAGGAAAACTGGTATGGCTTTATTAGTAAATAAAATATCAAATTTAACGATTATAGATGTTGATATCAATAAATCGTACAATGATGAACTTAAAGAAACAGTTAGAAAAGACATTTTATCAAAACTTTCGGATAAAGATGTTATCGTTAAAACCGCTTCAGGAGGTCTTCACATTTATTGCAACACTAATTTCTTCTATTCAGTTTCGAACAGAATGATTAAATGTTATTCCTGCAATGATTATGATATTGATATAATGACTTCTATTGATGATTCAAAACGTTCATTAGTGGTTATGGCTGATTCAAGAGTTCGCAAGAATGCAACAGAACCAATCAATACATACTCATTCAGTCGTGGAAGTTACGATTCAACATTAACTAGAACAGTGAATGATATATTAAATGATTTGAATATTAAGGTAAGAGTTGAACAGAAGAATGAAGAAATAAAGAGTATAATGAATGAAAACAAAGATGTAAACATTGACGATAAACTTGCCCAGAGCATAGTTGATGGCATCAGTGATTTTGAAGTACATAATGACGGTGGAAACATGAATTTAGAAAAAGAAGTTACATTATTCACACTGTTTCAAGCAATTAATTCGTTACCCAATCATTTAATTAATGAAGCATACGATAACGTTTATAACTTCTGTAATTTAACTGAAAATGCAAAAAGTAATTTTGAAAAAGCACGTAGTAGATATGCACATTTAATGACTTCTCCATTTGTTTTGGTGAAGATTCTAAAACTATATCAAAAGGAATATTATGATGAATACGTTTTGCCTTTATTACGTAAGCCAAAAATAACATTTGACATCAAACTTGATGACTCGTTTTTGATAACAGATATTAGACGCAAGGCTGAAAATCATCAGTATAAAAACAGTTCTGAAGTAATTGATGATTTATCACGTGTAATCCGTTTTGTAGATTGTGGAAATAAATATTTCATTCAAAAAGACTATAATATCCACGACAAAATGAATCAAATATCATTCGTTCTTCAATCAAACATGAAAGAGTCACTCAAAATGATTAAATTATTTAAAGAAGAAGGTAAAACCATAACAGCATGGGATTTACTACTAAATCAATTATCCTCATTAACAGTTAAAGGTGTTTGCTTCAAATCTGATTCCCCAGATGTTTTCTCAACGTTTCAAGGTTATAAATACAACATTCTCGAAAAGCCTGATTACTCAAAAATTGAGATGTTTATGAATTTCATTAAAGAAGCCGTTTGTGATAATAACGATGAAGTGTATAAATACCTACTCGGCTGGATTGCATCAATGATTCAACATCCTGGAATCAAGAATGAAACAGCAATTATTTTGAAAGGACTTCAGGGAACAGGTAAAAACAGATTTACAGACATTATTTCTGAACTTCTCGCCGGTTATTCATGCAAAAACATTACCGAAATAAGTGAGCTAACGGGTAATTTCAATTCAGTAGTTGAGAATAAAATGTTTCTTGTACTTAATGAACTCAAGAATGTAGGTGAAGACAGACTCGCAAACTTCAACGCTTTGAAATCAATTATTACGGATAATGAGATTAGAATTAATGAAAAGAATCAACCCAGAAGAACTGCTCAGAACGTTGCAAACTTCATTTTCGTAACTAACAACGTTTACCCTGTCAAAATTGAAGTTGGAGACAGAAGATACGTAGTTTTAAGAGTTAATGGTAAATTTAAGGGTCAATTTGATTACTTCAAGAATTTAATGGATTCATGCACAAAGGAATTTTATGATAATTTACTGACGTATTTTATCAATTACGACCTTTCATCATTTAATGTACGAATCATACCGATGACTGAAGCCAAACAAGATTTAATTGAATTATCAACAAATCCTTTAGATGTATGGATAAATACACATTATGATGAATTGAGTGCAGGTATGATGTGTAAAAATGCTCTATTCTGCAAACCATCAGACATGAAAGACAAGAATTTCCAAATGAGTATTAAGGATAAATGTGATAGGAAACATAGAAGAATAGATGGTAAACAAACATGGTGTTATGTTTTGAAAGAAGAAATGAAAGGATTATATAAACAGGTTGAACCAAACGATAATGAGGATTCATTTACTGATGATGAAATACCTGTAAATGAAGCTTTATAAAGTATGATTGGAATTTATTTTTGCCTTCCTCCTGTGTTGTTGTCAAAATGTCATGTTGTCATCATTTTTAAAAGAAGTTAATTGACATGGTAGCACATGGTAACATAGTAGCACCTTCAGTTCTTCAAAAATAATTCATAAATGCCTTCCTCCTTTGTTGTTGTCAAAATGTCATGTTGTCATCATTTTTTCAGAGAAGTTAATTGACATGGTAGCACATGGTAACATAGTAGCAGTGAAATAAAATTTTGTTATCAGTTATTTTATCATCATTTTATTAAGTTCATCTTTAGTTAATAATTTGAATGGATTCGCTAATGTTCCACCTTGAGTCACAACACTTGCCCCGGCTAATTGTGAAGAACCTGGGATAAGTACTCCATGAAATGATTTCATTGGTATCATTAATTTAGAAATAGTTGGCTTAATTAATTTTGTCATTTATGATAAAAATAAAATGTTAAATTATGCCGTTCACTCTTTTGGAGCTCAGGACTTTCAGTCCGTTCTAAAGTTTGTTTCACAAACATTGAGCGTTCAATAAACGCGGTACCATGCGAATATAGTCATAAATGGTGGCATATAATCTTTACCCAAGCCTGTTGGATTTGTTGTGAAAGTGTGTGAATGATTTCCTCCTGGTTCAGTTTGTCGAAAAGTCTTTTTTGCTGAATTGTTATAAGCTGGAGATAAAACATCATAACCAACTTCATAGTCTGAGTTGTATAATGGGTGGTCTCTTAATGAGTGGCTATGGTCGCCAGAAAAGTTTGTAGTTCCTGTATGAGTGTGCGGTGGAAGGTTTGCTTCTTTAATTTTCTTCGAACCTCCTGCTTGCTTTGAATATCTAGCACAGTATAAGAATTTATTTACAATCTGCTTCCACGTACCAAAACCTAAAACTGTTGCTGGATTTGTTGAATTCATTGACGTATAAATAGAACCAACAGGATATAATGTTTGAAGTATTTCATTTTTCATGCTTGTAATCACATCATTTACTTCCGTCTTCTTTGCATAATTTTCATCAACATAAGTTTTATCTGCTTTAAGGTCTAAACATCCTGAAACCCATCCTGTATCAGCTTTAACTTTAAAAGTCTCCGATGCCCATTCATGATACCATTCAACCTTTTCTTTAATTTCATTATCTTTTTCATCAACATAAACCAAATTTGCCTTCTTCTCTAATTCACTATCCACATATTCCTTATCCACCTTCTTCATTATGTCGTTTAGGAAACCTTCTATGAATTCCTCATTTAAATTAAATCTTCCAATCTTCAAAACTTTAGGAAATGCATTTAATGCGTAATATCTCTGTTCTTCTGGTGGAATTGATGTTATATCATCCGTTATTCCTTTAATTTTTGAATTCATAAATAAAATTTCTTTTATATTTGATATCACTGCACCACCTTTGCAAACGAATTCGAAACGGTCATTTTTCAATACTATCTCCAAATCTCCATATTTCAACCTTTGCGTTTGTTCTGCCGTCTTTGAATTATATGCATATGTGGCGTATGTAATGGTCTGAAGGACCTGGGTGCTTTGCGCCTTAAGTTGCTGTTGTTTAATCATTTATTATGATTTAAAAATAAATATTTAATCTGTTATCTCATCAGTTATTTTCTCTATTTGAAATTGCCATAATATTTCATTCATAAATTCTAAATCACAATCAAATAGGTCAGTTATTCTAAATTTAATATTTGATAAATCTTTTGAATGAAGAATAAATGAATTCCCGGATAATTGAAACGGATATGATAAAGAAAATGTGTTTAAGTTGATGGATAAAATGTTTTGTATTGATGGGTAAGAGTTAGGGTCTAATGTTTGATGTGAAAATCTCATTGGGGTATTAACTTTATCACATTTGATTAAAATGAAATTGGAACCAGTGTCAGAATACAAAACATCCCCAACATCTTTTTCAAAATTTAATATCCCCAACAATGAACGAAGATGGGGAGTACAAAATTTAATTTTCAGCGGGAATTTAATAAGGTTATTTATTTCATCAAGTTCAAAAAGTTTATCAGGTTTTGATTTAAAATTTTCTTCATACCATACGATAAATGATTCATTTAAATAACTTAAAATCGTGTTAATATCCCATTTCGCTATCACATTATTTATATACATATCATACGTTTTTTCATGGTCATCTTTAATAAATGATATATAATCTGAAGGGTCTAAAAGAATGGGATTAAATTTACCACTCACAGAAACGAGAGTAACATTATAAATTCCGCTAACTGTTAAATTTAATTCACAGTTATTATTCGAAATAATATTGATAATTGACATTTTTTATTACGATTAAAAATATGGTAAAGCGTTATTTTCCAGTGATAAATAAAACTAGAATAAGATTACCTCAAGAATTCATAAATTCAACGAATAAGAAATTCATTCATGTTATAAATTTTAGTGTTTTCAGAAAATATGAGTCAGTGTCATATTCATCAACAGGTTATATTTCACTTCATTCAAATTTAGTTCAATCAAACCCATATAATGACCATTTCATAAGATTTTCAGATGGTATTAAAAATGTAATTGATAGATTAAAATATGAACAGATTGACAATATCGAATTTTTGGAATTTTGGTTTAAATATCCCGATGGAAAAAAGATTGAAGTTAAAGATAAAGCTGATACTATAACAAAAACAATTACAATGACCGATCCAGATAGTGGGGAACAAAAAGAAATAAAACAAACGATAGAAACTGGTGAAAGGTCAATTATTATTGATTATGATTCAAAGGATTATTATTCGATAATGTTAATGCTTGAATATTAAATAGCCTTAACAAAGAATTTTTCAAGTGATATTTTATATTCATCAACTATTTTATTATAAATATCATTATATGTTAAATGAAGTTCAGTTGTTGTTCCATTCTTTGATATCTTAATTGTGCTAATATTCTTTATAGGATTTATTTTTGCAACTGTTCCGCAGCATGAAACCTCATCATCTATGAAAAATTGAATCTTAACGTCTGAATCTTGAACATCACAAAGAATGGCGATAATGTGAATTAATGATTCATAAGGTAAATAATTAAACTGGATTGATCAATTAAATTTATTATTGAATCATAATTATTAATTATTATATCACGGTAAATTTTCATTAATTCAGAATTAATGTCTATTTTATATGGGTTCTCGATGTTTGATGAAAGAGTGGGGGTATGTTGGATAAGTGGGAATCTCAACAGGTTCTTTACCGGGTTCAGATAAAATGATTGGGTCTCCATTCTCATGGTTTTCTTCATTCTCCTCATTCTTCGGTAAGTCACGAGTTAATAAATTTGGTTGAGTTGCTGACCTTGTTAATTCGGGGCTAACATTAACTTTAACATTTTGAATAATTCGTGATTTATCATCATTTACGTTATAACCAACCGTAATCTCTGCTTTTGCGTTAGTGTTCTTTTGACTAGTGAAACGTCTTCTCATTTATATTCGAATAAAAAAATTTATTTAAACTTTTATTTTGCTGGAACTTTTGAATCTATTATTCCCTGTATTTGTTCATGAAGTTGATTTTTAGCTGTTTCATCGAAATTAATAGACCGAATATATTCATTAATTGCATTCTTATAATCATCTGATTTCTCAAATTTTCTTTTATCTGATTCCTTAACTAAATCATAAGTTAAACCTCGTTGCTGATATAATGGTTTCTTAATTAAATCTTTGAATGCTTGAGATAAAGCACCCGATGCAATTCTTGCTACTATAATTGGTTGGAATTGCTGTTTAAGTTCATCTTTAACATTTGCGAAAACTGGATCAAATAAAGCAACTTTAAAGAATTTCTTAGCTGAAATTTCGGGTCTAATATTTGCATATTGACCATCAAACTGGTTAGAATATCGTGGTAATCCATCCAGTCCCTCTTCAATAGCATTTAATTCTTCATTGAAATAAGAATATGGATTATGACGGTATGAATTAATTGGACCATTTTCACCTTCTCCAATGTATTGTTTAACAGCTTTTCCATTTTCATCAAATTGCATAGGATAACGTTCATTATATGCTTTACGTTTAGGATAATCAGATATAGTTAATTTATAACCATTTATGACTTTAATATTACCTTGACCATCAGTAACGAAAACTTCATTTATACCATCGGGTTTTCCATTTGGACCCGTAATGTCTGCTTCGTGTGCTTCCCAATTTGGACCATGACGTTTGGCATATGCTTGAGCTTCTGGTAATGTTAAAACGTTTCTCATTTGTTTAACATCTTTTTGAAGACCAGCAACAATATGAACTAATTCTTTCATTCCATCAGGAACTTTCATAGTTCTATTATATGCACCCCTTTTGTTTGTCCCTTGTTTTAATGGAACCTGTAGAAGATTTGCTATTTCTGTCATGTTTAATTATAAATAAAAAATAAAAATTAATTATAAAAAGTTAATCAAATTTAACACTTCCTTTATTTAAATCAACTATTATTTTTCCATGTTTACCTAATTGCTGATATTGTGTGTAAAGTTCATTAATGCTCATTGGTAAATTCACTTGATAAAGCATAACGTTCAACTGTTGACGACTAAACCCACTGAAAATGAAAAGTGTTGATAGATTTGATTTAATGTTTGTGCTTAATGCTTTGAAATATTGAACAGCCATAAAGAATGAACACTGAATGTGTCGACATTGAGTTAATAACTGATTAAAATATGATTTCTCATTTGTTATTAGTTTTGATTTCACTGCATCATCTAGAAAAATGAGTGAATGCAAAAATTCTCTATCAAAATTTGAAATAGAAAGTGTTTCAAATAATTCATCCCGTTGTTTATCAATAATTTTATCCTCTAATCCTTGCTTCTTGATTGTATTATATAATTCTTTATACATTAAAAAGTTTTTTAAATAATCTTCTGCTTCTTCTTGTGATAAATAAATAATTGGAATTTTGATTAAATGCTTTAAAGATTCAAATGTATCATCTGAAGGTGAACCTGAACGGTTGATATAAATTAACACATGTGAATGGGGGGAAGTGTTAGCAATAATGATAATTTGTTTTAATATCGTTAATGTTTTACCTTTATTCTGTTTACCAATTGCTGCGGTGATTGAATTTAAGTAACATTCAGAATATGGAATTTTCATTAATTTTTCCTTAGATAGAGCATTTCTATTATCACTCAATGCTTCATTAATCATATCATCTACGTATGTATTATATACTCCCGCTAATTCTTCATAAGGGGTGGATGAATTTAAATCCATTTAATCAAAAATAAATTTATAATTTTAAACATTTCTATTCATCAATATTTCATCATATGAACTTCTATACTGTGGTGGTGTACTTGTTGGATGATATTTCAAACCTTCATCCGGTGTCCATGTCCAATATGTAGTCCTAGTAAACCAAACCTGAGGAGGATTTGTCACCTTTGAACAGTAAGTGTCATTTTCACCCTGAATGATTGGATAAGCTTTCACTTGTACTGTAACTTGTGAGTTGAAAGTTTCTAATCCATCAAAGAATATACCTGCTCCATCACGTTGAACTGGAATAGTGCATAAGAATGAAGTTTGGTCTTTCCATGTTCTAGCTAATGGTACGCCATCATCACCATTCAGTGGTCTAGTTAATGAGTCCTCGTATTCTTCCGTGCATTCATTCACCCCATCTAAATCAGAAGCTTGAAGCATACGTGTAAAGAATATGTCACCCACTGTGGTCATCGCTTGATCGGGGAAGTTTCTGGAATCTATAGTGACCTGAAGACCTCGAAGCATTGGATTTTCTAAAACCGTTCTTTGCATTGCATTCTTCGGAAATGTTAACACAACATCTGTAACATTATGAAGAGCGTATGAGAAATCTGAGCTAATACCTTCAGGAGTGATGCAACCTCCATTTAGTGAACGAACGTCAATATGTTGAGCTGGAATCATGAATGGATCTTCCTTACTGAATAAACGTGGTATTGCTTTAACTGATTCTTCAATTAAACCGTATCCTGGTGTAATGCATTTATCCTCTAAAACTTCCATCTTTGTGCATGAAATAATAACATCATCAACTGTTGCGTCAGCAGATGTAGCGGCTAAGCTTGTAATTAATTTGGCAGGAAGTCCGATTTGTTGGAATTTGCGATCATATTTATAAACATGATTCATAATCTTTTCATAATTTTCATCAGTTATCTTTTCATAAACGTAACTTTGTAAATCAGCAACTCTTAACGGGTCAACCTGACAAAATACTAAAGTATCCCTGAAAACATAATATTTAAGAATGATATCACCAAATGATTTAGGATAATCATCGAACGCCTGAAATGCTAACAAATCATTTACTGGAATAATCATATCAAAAGTGATATCAACTTCTTCATTTGCTTTCTTGAAAACTTCTGAAAGGTCAATATATTTACCACATACTGAGTTATCATATTTTTGAACATTATTATATAACGAATGAACAAACTTTTTAACTTTCCTTTCTGATTTTGGTTTATATGTTGCAAATGCGAAAGATTCACGGGCGCAATCCATCTGAAGATAACCGGCATCA